CAGACCTGCATCTGTGCGATATTTTGTCGGCAGAAGTCCATGTTTGTAGATCTTTCTTTTTTAAAACCTTTTTTTCCTCGAGATTGATTTGATTAGCAAATCAAAAATTCGAGGGTTTTTCGAAACGATTCTAGTTATATATATATATATATATATATATATATATATATATATATATATATATATATATATATATATATATATATATATAATAACTTGCATCTTGCATTTAAAAAAAAGAGTTACTGGAAAATATAAGTTGCTGATAATCCTTGACAAGTGGACGAAATAATTCTCAGAGTGTCGGTTTACGTATCTTTGCAGTCAGTACTTATTCTTCGTATAAATAAACACACACACACACACACACACACACACACACACACACATATATATATATATATATATATATATATATATATATATATATGAAGAAGTATAGTTTTAAGGTGTGCTATATTTATAGGACAAATGCTCAATATCAGAGATAGAGCGTATGTAAATAAAAAAGTGAACATTAAAGTCAACACTCAGAGGCGACAGGCTGTTTCATGCTAGACGCAATTTTTTGTTTAGCATGAAACAGCCTGTCGCCTCTGACTGTTGACTTGAATGTTCAGGTATCTCTCTCTCTCTCTCTCTCTCTCTCTCTCTCTCTCTATATATATATATATATATATATATATATATATATATAAACTTGTTTCATGATATATAGTATAGATTTCTGTGTTTCAGATAACAAAATAAGCCGGAAATACCTGACGTTGAAATAGTGCAGATGCAGAGAACTACATCCGCTATTACGCACACATTTGACACGAAGTCACGTGATTGACATGCAAATGGCGAGACGGAATCTTAAATACGCTTTTTGAGACGTGTTCAAAAACATGACAATTATAATTTTTTTTCATATAATTTTTCATGTTATGATATTTCTCTATTTTCTTTCTGCGAAAGCCGCTTATGACACCTGTTCTCTTTCGATCAAGGAAGTTAAGCACTATCGGGCCAGATCGGTATTTTGATGTGGGAATCGCTTGAGAAGATTTGACACTGGAAACAGCCTCCTGTAATCCCAAATGTGTGTCGGATTTAAATAAACTACAAAGGTTTATGAAACGTAAGCAAATAAATAAATAAATCATCCTGTGAACGCAGTTCTTTGATTCATACAGTTTGTTTTTATCTTATTTTTCTGGAAGTTTTGGTGATATACGACATTGTCTGGTTCAGTGACATTTGCGGCATTTGTTGCTTTATTTAATGGCAAATTTCAAAGGGGCCCCACGGTGCGTTTCAAACTTGCTTCACAGTCGATATCACTAAACCAGTCTATTTTGGCTAAACTTTACACTACATGGATGTGACTTTTATCATTTTAGATTCGTTTTCTCTATGCGTTTATTCGATCAGAGACAGACCAGGTTGGGCATTAAACGTCGCAAAATACCACAGATACTAAACGACTAAATATCTCTGATACTAAACGACAAGACCCCACAGTATTACTGAAGCTCAAATAGGATTTCATCAACTACCGCAGCATTATAACGTTCAAATATTTTGACGACCAGTATCTGGTGAGATATCACAGAAAAACAAAAGCCATGATATTGGATGAAAAAATACCACAGTATTTGAGTTTCTAAAGATTTTGAAAATCAGTATTTATAGGTTAAAATACTTCAGACATTAGACGACCACAGACAACACTAGTATCAAAATCCAATTATTAGATGCCTACATAAAACATTATTGCTAAAGACTAAAGCGACAAAATGAGAAATTATTACCTAAGCCCACATATTGGACAACCAAATACCCCACTATTACCAAAGTCCTGAAAGTAGACAACCAAATGCACAACTATTACCAAAGAACATATATCAGGTATACAAATACCACAATATTAGCAAAGCCCAGTTATTAGACAACCGAATATAAAACTATTACCAAATCCCAGATATTAGATAACTAAATACCACATTGTTACCAAAACCCAGATATTAGACAATTAAATACGATACTGTTACGAAAGTCCAGATATTAGACAACTAAATACCACATTGTTACCAAAGCGCAGATATTAGACAACTAAATACTACACTATTACCAAAGCGCAGATATTAGACAACTAAACACCACACTATTACCAAAACCCAGATATTAGACAACTAAATATCGCAATATTACCATATTAGACAATTAAATACCACACTGTTACCAAATTCCAGATTTTAGACGGCGAAATACACCACTATTATTAAACAGATAAGTTACCACTAAATACCTCACTATTACCAAAATTAACATATTAGACAACCGAATTCCACACTATAATCAAAGCCCATATATTAGACAAGAGAATTCCATACTATTACCAAAGCCCAGATATTGGATATCCGAATAACACATTGTTTACAAAGACTATATATTAGACAACCAATTACCACACTACCACCAAAGCTCAAATATTCGACAACCGAATGCAACACTATTACCAGAGCCCATGTATTAGACAACTGGTTATCACACTATTACCAAAGCCCAGGTATTCGATAATCGATTACAACACTATTATCAGAGCCCATATATTAGACAACCGATTACCACACTATTACCAAAGCTCAGACATTCAACAACCGAATACAACACTATTACCAGAGCCCATATATTAGACAACTGATTACCACACTATTACCAAAGCTCAGATATTCAACAACCGAATACAACACTATTACCAGAGCCCATATATTCGACAACTGATTACCACACTATTACCAAAGCCCAGATATTCGACAACCGAATACAACACTATTACCGAAGTTCAGATAGTAAACAACCAAATACCACGATATTTGTTCGCCCAATGATCAGAAAAGCTCCAGTCTCCGAGATTTGTCACTGCTCTGTTTCATTGTGTAATATGCAGCTCTCAGCCAGTCTCAACTGGTTTCTCGCCGTTGCTTACGTTACATGCATTGCAGCGATATTGTTGTTGTTGTTGTTCTTCTTCTTTTTATCTGTCTACTTTTCCGATTTATCGATTGTTGCCATTAAGTGCTTCCATAATATATTTGCAACGAGCCAAGTCGGTGTTTCCTCTCCGACGTGCTTCTTATTTTTCGAATTTTATATAATGGCGACCGTGACAATTCTTTTGAAACGACTCAATCTTATTTTAATTGCGTTCGTCCCAGGCATCAAGACGCACCGCCACTCACGCGAAAAAAGAAGACCGTGAATGTCACTTCAATTATTATTATTATTATTATTATTATTATTATTATTATTCGTTAATATTGATACACGTTTGCATAGCAACGGAAATCGATAGAGACATTCGGCTTTCTTTTTTTTCTTATTTTCTTTGTTTTTTTGTTCTTATTATTGATGAAACGCTTGAAGCGAAAAAATACACGGCTCGTAAAAGTGGCAAATGACGGGGAAAGGGAAGAAACTTTGCATCGGCTGTCGCAATGTCGTCATTGGCCCTGATGGATGTTATCTTTCGATTATTCAATCTCTTTCCAAGCTTTCGTCGTCAGACTTGTTTGTCACTTGCTATAAAATCCGACATATTTCTTTCTTGATTGCTCGCATAAGCAGAACAAAAACAAAAATCTCTTGCAATCTCCCGGGCGTCCAATCTTTGTGACGGTTCCGTGGTTAGTATCCATTTTGTTGAAGGCGGGAAAAATTAATTCGTACATCTACCTAACAAAAGTGAGTGCCTCTCTCAGACAAAGACAATAACAAAGAATGCAGCAAACTTGCATATTCATCGATGATAACAGACTGTATGGGAAGCAAAATGGCAGGTTATATTCTAAAAGAATTATTCCCTAGGTAGATAAAAAAAGATGGTGGTGAAACGAAATATTTTTATATTTCTTTCTGGAAGCTGAGGACAAAATAGATTTCATCTTAAAAGAACAATTCAGAAAAAAGTAATAATGAAAAAAACACAGAAATAGAACAAGTATTTTTAACTGGAATAAACAAGTTACATGAATTAAATTCTTACGGAATATTAGTTAATTTAGGCTAATCTGGTTAGGTTACGGTATTTCAATATATTCTGGATTAATTCATGTCGAATATGAAATTATTTTCTTTCCAGAATCTATCCTACATTTCTACAGCGTATGCTGGGTAAATTGTCGCCATTTTATATTTTTAATTTCGCGCATGCGTGTTGTTTGTTTTTGATTTTGACGACTGCACCGTATAGTGGGTGTCAGTTGGGCAGCGTTTATAAGAAAAAAAAACAGCACATCGCACTTTCCTCCGCCATAAATTTGGAAACGGCATGATGTATTGCGTAGCCTTCGCGCAAGAACTTCTAACATGAACATTTCAGAGTGTTTTGGTGTCAATCTGAGGACCGTACAGAGGATCCGGAATGAGTAGGATGTGTTTAATGGCGATTACGAAGGTACGGCAGCCAGGAAAACTGGTCGTTCTAATAAGAAAAAAAAAACTTCCGAATTTATTGGTAAGACCTAAGCCATTATTGAAAACGACCCCTTCAAGTGAGTCAGGTCCATAGCCAGAGAGGTGGTGCTGTCCTGGGTAAAGATCATGGTTGCTGTCATCCCCTATGTGTAGCAACAGGACACCGTGCCACACAAGCAGGAGGACCCACTCATGGCTGCGACCCCATCACTCTGGCCACCTATCTCCCCAGTCTGCAACCCACTTTATTACGTGCGGGGAGAAGTTGAGCCCGAGACCAATAAAATTCCTTGCAACACCAATGAACTGAAGGCAAGGATTATGGCAGCATTCACCAACTTAAACAAGGAGACCGACCGGAAGAGTTGCATGTGATTCCGAAGTCGTCTGGAGGCTGTGGTTGAAGCCAATGGCGATTTTATTGAATATATTTACTCATTAGTATTTCAAGATATTTTTGTTTAATTTTAGTTAATATATAGTGGGTTATCAGTTATAGTGAAATATATGAGTATTGAAACAGATTAGTTTGATTTGGCCTTGTTAGTTAGATAGCCCACCATAAGAGGAGTATAAAACAAGAAAATCAAATTGTAAAGTGAAACAACAAATTTATATACATATAAATCAATCCAGGTCTTTATAAATAAAAGTAATGTATTTTGCTTGATACGCACTTTCCTCCATCATACAATTTACATACAATTCATTGTAAATTTTATGTATATAATATATATATATATATATATAGAAGAAGTTGCAAATTAAAAAAATTATAATGTTTTTTTTATGAAAGTATTTATTTATTTATATATATATTTGATATTTCAGATCGACCTCGATCTTTCTTCAGAAATAACTGTTTGTTTATAAGTAGCGTCCGTCGCGAGATGCGGACGTCACGTGATATGGAACGAATATTCCTAACGTAAATCTAACTGTAATAACATTTTAGATGTTGTTTAAAAAATTAAAAAAAAAATTAACTATATCTAAAAAACTGTTTTTTTTAGGTGTAATTAAATTTTTTATTTTTATTTTATTGTTTTTATTTTTTAAACAACATCTAAAATATTATTACAGTTAGATTTACGTTAAGAATATTCGAACACAGTGACGTTCCATATCACGTGACGTTCGCATCTCGCGACGGACGCTACTTGTAAACAAACAGTTATTTCTGAAGAAAGATTGAGGTAAATCTGAAATATCAAATATATATACAAATAAATAAATACTTTCATAAAAAAAAAAACATTATAATTTTTTTTAATTTGCAACTTTTTCTATATATACATATTAAGAAAGCATACGTGGCTTCTCATTATGCTATTTGGACCCTACTTAGACGAAAAAAAATGTAGATATATATTTTAATTTTTTTTTACAAGCATGGCGGTATTATTAGGTCTTTTGAAGAAAAAAAAGCGTCATTTTGTTAAATGTTCGGCTTCGATGGAGAGAAGGGGAGTTTTTGTGGTGATTGAGGTTATTGCTAGAGTGCTAGGTTTCTGGATCGGATTAGCCAGAAGTCGGCTAGTCAGTGTTGACCAGCCTTTACCACACACCCACCTTCTTCGGTCATATGACACATACAAATACAAATTTGTAAAATAAACATAAGCTTTGTGTTTTGATTGATTGATTTGGTTTTTTAACGGAATATCGACACCTCATGGGTCATTGTTATACAGAAAATAAATGCCGCTGTCGATACTAGAGTTTTATCATAGATCGCCAGTAAGCAAACATAGGCGATCCCATTATTGATTTAAGTAGACCACGTGACCATAAAGGAAACTCATATAGATAGGAAATAGGTGATGACTAATTATCGTTATTCCTATTCTATCTGCTAATGCTATTTGGATCGTCATTTCTAATCTATCCTCTATTACTATTCGAATCGCCATTACTAGTCTATCCTCTGCTACTATACGGACCGCTATTTTCTACTCTATTCACTATACTATCATGCTATTCAGATCCCTATACGGATTACTATTAGATCAAGTGTTATCGAGAAAGTACTAATAGTGCGAGATCTATTCGATGGCGTCTGACATCAGTATTGTTCAACGGCGATACTATAACTGCATCTGCGATTACAAAGTCTCTACTACAACGAGCATTGCGAAAGTGACAACGAGTATTCGTTGGCATCACAAACGTCATGTAATGCCGAAATTTAAATTTCTTGGGCGCTTTGAAGTAATACAAATGATATCTGTTATTCTGGTTTCACAATTAAATACATGCCAGAAGATACTCAGCTTTTGTTTGTGTAGACATGATTACTAGAGGCGGAGATAGGTGTGTTTTATTTTGATGCTTTGATCAAATTAAACTCTATGGATTATTTAATGCTGGAATCTAAATATCCTGAGAAATTTTATGGATTCAACTAAATATAATTTGAAAGCAAGAGTATACCTCCAACCACAGCCACAGATAATCATATTGAAGGTCTTTTTAATCTATAATATATTGTTGAGTATTCTACCATGAAATATATTGTTAGTCATTTTTATCTATAATAAATTGTTGATTATTCTACCATAAAATGTATTCTTGGTCATATTAGTCTATAATAATTTTTTGATTAATCTATCATAAAATATATTACTGGTCATTTTAATCTATAATAAATTGTTGATTATTCTACCATAAAATAGATTGTTGGTCGTATTAATGTATAATAAATTGTTCATTATTCTACCATAAAATGTATTATTGGTCATTTTAATCTATAATAAATTGTTGATTATTTAACTATAAAATGTATTGTTGGACATTTTAATCTATAATATATTGTTCATTATTCTACCATAAAACGTATTGATTGTCATTTTCATCTATAATAAATTGTTGATTAATCCACCATAAAAGGTATTGTTGGTCATTTTAATCTATTATATATTGTTCATTATTCTACCATAAAATGTATTGTTGGTCATTTGCTTGAAAAATATGGTGTTGATCATTTTACTATGTTATCTATATCTTCATAGTGTTTTAGTTCTCAGTATTTACCGTAGCCGGAGTCATTAGAGGTATAATATTGAAGAAGGATTTTGAAGAAGGAACCGGAAAACCAATCCTAAAGAGGAAAAAAGTGATAAACCTCTACGCCTGTCCAGCAAAACGTGGAGGTTTTCTTACCATTATTTATTTCACTAAACAATTCAGAGTTCAAGCAAAGATATTTGAAATATACAGTTGAAGTGGACTTTAGTAGGAACAGGAAACCCAATCCTAAAAAGGAAACAAGGGATAACCCTATACTCCTGTACAAAAGACCAGAGATGGTTGTAAACCGGATGATAGTTAATCGTACCCACCTCCTATTGGGATAGGTTTATCCCTTGTTTCCTGTTCAGTATTGTGTTCCCGGTCCCTACTAAAGTCAACTTCAACTCTATACATCTAATGTCTTCGCTTGAACTCTGAATTGATTTTTACTGATTATTTTTCTCCTCCCACATTACTAGTAGATAGGTTCGGCTACCATCCAGATCAACCTCCGACCCTGTCTTCTGAGCAGGCGTAAAGTTGTTCCCTGTTTAGCATTGAGTTGCTTGTTCATTCTCCTAAAGTCCTCTTTTTCTTTTACCCCCAGCAACAGCTTTCGTGTCAGTGACATCATCGCCTTTTTTGGGATGATTTGATTAAAAAGAAAAATGCAGCAAATTGTCTTCATTAAAATACAGTGAAAACAATTTTTTTGTTCGCTATCAACATTCTTATTGCCTATAAATATTAATCTTACAAAACACGTTTCTAATATACTGTTTATTTCTTCTTTTTTTTATTCTTAGATCTTCTTTCGCTATTGTTTATAGCCATGAACTGATTACGAAAACGAAAAAATGCATGAATAATTTCGAATTTTCATGTTTGCTAAACAATTGCAGCATTCTGTTGGAGAATAACGCATTCTTGTTTGCATATTCGATGTCGCGAATTCCTGCGAGAGGAAACAGTTTTTCCATCCATCGTGTTTGGTTCAATTTTTTCACATTCTTGCAAAACATTTTCGCATTATAAAAAAAAAAAAAAACGATTTCCATAGCGTAAATAAAAAAATATATATCATTGTTTTAAACTCTACAGAAGCTAGTTGCAAAAAGGCCCCAATACTTTGACAAGATACAATTCTTCTTCTTCATCATCGTCTTCGTTTTCTTCTCCGTCCTCCACTTCTCCTCCTCCTCCTCCTCCTCCTTCTTCTTCTTCTTCTTCTTCTTCTTCTTCTTCTTCTTCTCTTATTCTTCTTCCTATTTTCTTTCTCTTCTTCTTCTTCTTCTTCTTCCTATTTTTCTTCTTCTCCTTCTTTCTTTCTTTTCCTCTTTTCTTCTTCTTATTCTTTGTCCTCCCCGTTTCACTCTTCGTCCTTCCCTTCTTCTTCTTCTCTATCCTCCTCTTCCTCTTCATCTTCTTCTTCTTTTTCTTTTCCTCTTCTTCTTCTTCCTATTTTCTTCCTCTCTTCTTCTTCTTCTTATTTTTTATCTTCTTCCTAATTTTTTTCTTATTCTTTCTTTCTTTCTTTCTTTCTTTCTTTTCTTCTTCTTATTCTTTGTCCTCCACTTTTCCTTCTTCGTCTTTCCCTTCTTCTTCTTCTTCTTCTTCTTCTTCTTCTTATTATTATTATTATTATTATTATTATTTCTATTTTTCTTCGTCTTCCTCTTCTTCCTCTTTCATTTCTATTATTCTTCTTATTCTTCTTGGTCCTCCTCCTTCTCCTTTTTCTTCTTCTTCAGGATTGCAGCTCTCCACAATTTCCTGACCTCTGTAACTCATAACAGAGCTTATCTCTCCCAATCCCTGTTCTACCAAACATTTACAAAAGTTCCTTGGATAAGTTATATTCCATTTTCTTCTATTTCACTTTCCTTCAATACGTCCTGTGAGTGACAAATTTTCTTAGCCCCCTTTCCTCAGTGTATGACCTAGAAATTCCACTTTCTCTTTTCAAGTGTATTTTCCTTTCCATTTTCTCTACAACTATGCACAACATTGGCAAGATAACACTGTTTCCATATCTTGTGAACACGACGTTTTCGCTACACATTCTTCTTTTCTCTTCAAAACATGAACCGCCAATTCCCTCCACAATTTCCTCACCAGTGTAGCTCATAATACAGTTTGTCTTTTGTCTATCTCTCCTAATCCCTGTTCTACCAAACATTTACAAAAGTTCGTTAGGTAAATTATAAGTCGTTTTTCTCCATTCTCCTTTCATTTCAATACGTCTTCAGAGTGTCACATTTTCTTCGTCTTTTTTCATAAACATATGACCTAGGAATTTTACATTTTCCTTTTCAGTGTATTTTTTTTTCAATTTGCTCTAAAACTATCTGTGGTTAAAGTAAATATTGATCGTTAAATACTAATTCGTAATCGATTTTTTTTATTCAAAATATTGGGAATGAAATTAGTAGCAAAATTATTTAAAAATTCACTTCATTTGTTTCATATTTAAAATACTATCTCGCAATTCAATGTCGGTTTAAATTCTACCGTTAGAAATTTTGTTATGTTAACATTACATCTTCTACCTAAGATAGTATACATTGCGGTTGGTGAGTCACTCGAAAAATAACAGCGAAGCTCGGGATTTGAAAAAATATTTCGGAGAGTAATCGCTGTTAATAGATGAAACTTTCCTGACGCGTATGTAAACACAGCCTCATGAAAATATGACGTAAAAGACACAAAGAGAGTTCTTGCTACATCCACAACCTCTAATATAAAGGGTCAGAGAGAAGGCACGATCAGCTCATGGTATCTTCAACATTCTTTCTGCAGAACAACATTCTGCTGCCTCAAATCTCTGTTTTGATCTATGAGGAGATGGTCTAAACTTCACTACCATTTAATATTAATTAAATGATATTATATAACCGTTCAGCACTGTTTTCCTTATTTCTAATGCCTCAAGTTTCTTCTTCATCTGTGAGGAGATTGTCCAGCATTCACTGCCATATATGGGGACTGATATTATATAACCGTTCAGCACTCTTTTCTTTGTTTCTGTTGCCTCAAGTCACTTCTTCATCTGTGAGGAGATTGTCCAGCATTCACTGCCATATAGGAGGACTGATATTATATAACCGTTCAGCACCCTTTTCTTCGTTTCTGTTGCCTCAAGTCTCTTCTTCATCTGTGAGGAGATTGTCCAGCATTCACTGCCATATAAGAGGACTGATATTATATAACCGTTCAGCACCCTTTTCTTTGTTTCTGTTGCCTCAAGTCTCTTCTTCATCTGTGAGGAGATTGTCCAGCATTCACTGCCATATAGGAGGACTGATATTATATAACCTTTCCGCACTCTTTTTTTTGTTTCTGTTGCCTCAAGTCTCTTCTTCATCTGTAAGGAGATTGTCCAGCATTCACTGCCATATAGGAGGACTGATATTATATAACAGTTCAGCATCCTTTTCTTTGTTTCTGTTGCATCAAGTCTCTTCTTCATCTGTGAGGAGATTGTCCAGCATTCACTGCCATATAGGAGGACTGATATTATATAACCGTTCAGCACCCTTTTCTTCGTTACTGTTGCCTCAAGTCTCTTCTTCATCTGTGAGGAGATTGTCCAGCATTCACTGCCATATAAGAGGACTGATATTATATAACCGTTCAGCGCCCTTTTCTTTGTTTCTGTTGCCTCAAGTCTCTTCTTCATCTGTGAGGAGATTGTCCAGTATTCACTGCCATATAGGAGGACTGATATTATATAACCTTTCCGCACTCTTTTCTTTGTTTCTGTTGCCTCAAGTCACTTCTTCATCTGGGAGGAGATTGTCCAGCATTCACTGCCATATAGAAGGACTGATATTATATAACCGTTCAGCACCCTTTTCTTCGTTTCTGTTGCCTCAAGTCACTTCTTCATCTGGGAGGAGATTGTCCAGCATTCACTGCCATATAGGAGGACTGATATTATATAACCGTTCAGCACCCTTTTCTTTGTTTCTGTTGCCTCAGGTCTCCTCGTCATCTGTTAGAAGCTTGTCGAGGATTGTTATAGGAGGACTAATATATAAATGTTGCCTTGTTTAAAGCGATTTTTTTTCTATTTCTTAATTTAGCGTTTGGAAGTCTCCTTTCGTTATCGCAACGCCCCTTCGGATTCCGGTGTCGAATTTTCCATCCTCTATCAAAACGATTCCTTTTCGGAGAAGCAACATATTGGGAGTCTGTTCCACAAAGCGGTGATTTTTAGGAAGGGTCTGCTTGAGTGGAACTCACCACCAGGAAATTACGAAAGGAGTGAGGGTGGTTCGCAACATTGTGCGTGGCATGGCTATTCTTCTCTGTGAAGGTTAGAAGCGCGGAATCTAAGGTGTGTTGTTTATCCCCATTGAAATAGCGATACAGCAGCAAGAGACTTGCGACGTCTCGTCTGGGAGAAGGGGGTTGCAGATTCCAAAATAATTTCTTCAGTCACAAAGGTTCGAAGACGCTTTTGGGCTCTATCGAGAGTAGAATGTGAAGACTGTGTAGCTCCAGCTCATATATGGCAGCTGTACTCCATTTTCGGCCGGATCTGGCTTTTGTAAATATAGAAGATACCAGGAGAAGCGAAGTACTTGTGCATTCGTACATGAAAACCATCATCTTTTCCAGTATCTTTAGCATCTTCCACGTAAAAACTGGGTCGAGTTGAAGACCCAATTGGCGCTCAAAACAGGGTGCTGTCAGCCTAACAAACACGGTTCATCGTTGTCTCGTTCCATTACGCCACCTAAACACAGAAATGATTCAGAGGTAAATATACAGAAAATTCAATGTCTGACTATATTTCCGAGATGAGGTATTATGTACACTATTTACATTGTTCGGAATATTGTCCTCATCTTTGTTGTCATTTTCACGACGTTTTAGCCGTTGTACGCCCTGGCCTTTTTCAGGATCTGGTTATGTTTCTGAGATGATGTATCGTAACTATTTGCACTATTTACATTGATCGGAATGTTGTCCTCATCTTTGTTGTCATTTTCACGATGTTTCAGTCGTTGTACTCCCAGGACTTCTTCAGGAACTGGTTATATTTCTGGGACGAGGTATTGTAACTATTTACACTATTTACATTGTTCGGACTGTTCTCCTCATCTTCATAGTCATATTCACGACGTTTCGGCCGTTGTACTCCCCAGCCTTCTTCAAGATCTGTCTTTATTTCTGAGATGACGTATTGTAACTATTGACATTATTTACATTTTTATGACTATTGTCCTCATATTTGTTGTCATTTTCACGACGTTTCTGCCGTTGTACACCCGGCCTTCTTCCGGATATGTCTATATTTCTAAAATGAGATATTGTAACTATTTACATTGTTCGGACTGTTGTCCTCATCTTTATTGTCATAATCACGGCGTTTCGACCATTGTACTGCTCGACCTTCTTCAGGATATGTTTATATTTCTGAGATGAGATACTGTAAATATTTACACTATTTACATTGTTCGGACTGTTGTCCTCATCTTTCTGAAATGGGGTTTTGTAACTATTAAAATATTTACATTGTTCGGACTGTTGTCTCCGTCTTCCTTGCCATATTTACAATGATTCGGCAGCTGTACGCTCCGATCATCTTCAAGATGTATTTCTGAGAAGCGGTTTTTTTTATTTGTTTTTTGAATGTTTACACTATTTACATTGTTCGGATTTTAGTTCTCATCTTTATTGACACATCCACGTGCTTTCGGCCGTTGTATGCTCCGGTCTTCTTCAGGTGATATATGATGGAATTTCTGATCGAAACCTTTATTTCGTCCACCCGATTTGATTTATCTCGTTCCACGTGCCATACCTTTTCTGTATCTCTTAGTTTTCAGTTAATTTCCTTTTGTAATTCAACTTGTCGAGTTGAATTGCAAAACTCAAATTTACAATGTGGCCAGAAATGAAAATACCCCTGAAAATGCAAATATCGTATATTTAAATTCACCTGCAATTTCCAAATCGAGAAATGGAAATACCTCTGCAAATCCAATTATCCGAAATTTAAATGCACCCGAAATTGCAATATCGACAAATTGAAAATGCCACTGAAAGTCCAATGCCTGGAAATGTAAATGCACCTGAAATTGCAATAATGGGAAATGATAATACACATGTTGCAGTACAGCTGAAATTTCAACTGTCTGAAATGAAACTTTATTTACATAATTTCCATCGTTTTTAACATTTTTATCGATTCTAAGGGAATAATATTCCAGCAGTATTCGTTGTTTTCGGTTTTTCTGTTTTTGCTATGATTTCATGCATTTTTCGAACAGGCATCATCATTGTCGTTGTGTTCATTTTAACGTTTCATTTGATTTATTCTTCGACCTTACTAAACCTATGATCTATTCGTTTCTTCAAAAGGTGGTCATGTAAAAAAAAAAATAAGTAAATGTCTATGGAAGCGGGTGAATCTATTTAATATCCAACCCCCACATTTTCTCTTTACAGTCGTCTGGATCGTTACCTTCGTTGAGATTAGATTTGATATCACAATAAAAAATAAAAAAAATATTGAGCGACACCGCTTTTGTTTTTGTTTTTTTTTAAGCTTTTCACTCCAAGCTGGGCGTGAGTTCCACTAGCACGCAAGGGGGTTACAGAGAGTGGGAGCGAAAGTAAAGAGACGTGATAGAGAAAAGGACGAAGGGAAGAACGGGGGAATCGACCAAGGCATCTGGAGATGTCGATTGGCATTGTATTTGAATAGTTAGAGATTATAGCTATCAAGGAAACAAATAAGAGGAAGGGAGTTCCACAGAGGGGAAG